GATTTATGGGGCCCCATGAAATAATATTAAACTGATGCACCAAGTCTGATAGCAACTGTGATGGGAATGATTTTTTAGAGATATGATTTTATAATCTTCAGAAAAAACACTAATGAAATATATTTAATGCAAATTTTAAACTGGTCTTGTGGACTAACACAGTCAATTCAGAAGCTTCAGGGGGTAGCCGAGTTAGTCTGTACAGGATAAACTTAAAAAACAACAAAGGGTCTGGTAGCACTTTAAAGACTAACAAAACATGTAGGGCTCGTCTACACTGGCCCCTTTTCCGGAAGGGGCATGTTAATTTCACCTATCGTAGTAGGGAAATCCGCGGGGGATTTAAATATCCCCCGCGGCATTTAAATAAAAATGTCCGCCGCTTGTTTCCGGCTTTTAAAAAAGCCGGAAAAGAGCGTCTACACTGGCCCCGATCCTCCGGAAAAAGTGCCCTTTTCCGGAGGGTCTTATTCCTACTTTGAATAAGAGCCTCCGGAAAAGGGTGCTTTTTCCGGAGGATCGGGGCCAGTGTAGACGCTCTTTTCCGGCTTTTTTAAAAGCCGGAAAAAAGCGGCGGACATTTTTATTTAAATGCCGCGGGGGATATTTAAATCCCCCGCGGATTTCCCTACTACGATAGATGAAATTAACATGCCCCTTCCGGAAAAGGGGCCAGTGTAGACGTAGCCGTAGATTGTATCATGAGCTTTTGTGAGCACAGCCCACTTTTTCAGATGATAGGAGTTTAGAAACTGACAGGATATGCCTGAGTTTGGCAAGGGCTGTTAAGTGGCTTCATTACCACCTGAATGGCTTGTTCACAGGTTCAGTGCTCTGCTGATGGGTCTGGGCAGCTTTTTCACTTTTAAGTTTACTAGATCTCTGGAGGAAGCGAAGCCACCCAGGGACAGGAAGCTGTGGATGGTGTACATTAAGACCCAGTGGTGCCTCACATTTTCAGGTGCTTTGCGCAGCTGCGTATTCTGCCTAAGGGTAAGGATGGCCCTGTGAAAAGTTTATGATCATTGCTCAGGGTGGTATAGCAGTTGGACAGTAACAGCTTTTGGTCACTACCTTCCTTGCCTAGATATTAAGCAGACACACAGAGGTGACCACATCTAAACCCCCTTATTAATTCCCTCAAAGCCATTCTGTCCCAGATATGAACATAGTAATCAGTCCCATTTTAAAAGATATCTGAGATTAAAAAGCTGCTAATTAGAGACCCTATCCAATACATTTTTAATTGGCTGACATTTTAAAATTGTTTAGCTTTTTTCCTTGGGTGTAAAATTTGATCCTGGACTAAGAACTTTAAAGTTATTTACTATGCCAGAGTGATTATTTTACTACTACGTGACAGTATGTGAACCTCTCAACAACATGGCTTACATTAGAAATGCTAACGGACTTACCATTACTCTAGTCCCAGTTGAGGTCTGCAATCTGTGGAACAAGGTTAGCATCAGATGTAGTTCACATCCAGTCCTGGAACCCAGTCACTCCAAATTATATTTATGTTCTACGCCACACTATTGGCAACTCTTCTGGCATGTCAAGGAATACAAATGCTGCCAATTGTTTTGACAACAGTTGCATCGCTTTTACCAGCTCTAGCCAAATATTACAATTCCAAGCAGCCATGTGTGCCACATTTCATAACATGAAGCAGATTTGCTGACATATCCTCTTACTTTCACAGATCAAACCTTCGGATCAAAATACCCCAACCTATGCAAAGTTCAAGATCCAGATCTGTAGGATTAAATACAATTTTGCTTGTATTTCAAATATTCTGGTGAAGTTTACTGAAGATTTCATGTTGCAAAATGGACCCATGCTTATCTAGCAAATACAAAAGATGTAGGGCCCACTCATTCCCTAGTGAGATCCCAGATTGGGACAGACATTAACTCTCGCAGGAAGTACATTTTCTGAATGTGCATCGGTTTTAATGCAATTTAATAAGGACCTAATCCAAAGCCCATTGAAGTCAACAAGTCTTTCTATTGACTACAATGAACTTTAGATCAGGGCCAATATATCAGGAGTTCTGATACGTTGCATGTTGTCTTTTTCTAAAAGAAGCTGAGAAGCATATGTAATCATGGTAACAGTCAAATTCTTGTCATGATGCTGCCTTTCTCTGAAGGCCAGAATAATTTCTAGAATATGCCGTTCTTGCATCATGTCTAAAAAATTACACACACTGAGAAACACTGGAACCATTTAATTCCAAGCCCATGGGAGTCAGCTCAGAAATAGTTTTTATATTTTCCAATGCTTTACCCAGTAAAGTGTTAAATGTTTGCAGACAGGGTCTTCCAGGAAATTCCTGGCAAGTCACAGATCTCCATGTCAGGAAATTTTCTGTGTTAACCCAGTTTTTCATTTTAATTAATCCCCATTTCACTTAGTTTTCCATCACTCTGAACAATGTCCCTCCCTCTTTGGTGTTTAGACTTTCCAAATACCGGTAAGCATGCGTTCTGTTCCCCAATACTTGGTCCTTTACTTTAACTATATTTAATTTTTTTTACATTATCCCTTATAGGTCTATGTTGTACTTCAGTCATTTTTGTGTCTTTGATTTCCCTCCAGTCTCTCTGGTAATGGATGTACCCAGAAATAAATGGTTCCATACTTGCATGGCAATAGAGAATGTGAAAAAAAAACCCCTCACCCTTACTAGAATTCTCCTCATGGATGAAGTAGGCTTGGTAATGGTTTGGTAAATGGCTAAATCAATAGCTCAGTTTCTTTCCTGCCCCTGCCTTTGCACTACAGCAGTCAGAGAACCCCACAAAGCTACAAAAAGTCCAGAACTGCCTCCCCCCAGAACAGGTTTTTTACCTCCTTCTTGCTGTCAGTGAGTTTCAGCTGCATTTAGGGCTTTTGATGCATATGGGTGGATAGCATTAACTCAACATCCTTGATCCACAAATCCCAGTCTTGATTTTGCAAAGATGTACACACACTTTTCAAGTTATATATATGAACAGTAACTCAGGTTTGTTTGCCAGGATTTGTTATTCATTCATACATGTGGCTTAATTCTCGTGGTGAAACTATCATCTGTATGCCTATGGATTGTCTTATTATTTGTTTCATTATTTTACTAGAGACTGAAGTTCAATTTAACAGTCACTCCTCCTCTGATTTTTGTTTGTTTGTTTAACTTCAGTACCACATTTGCTTTCCCCTAATCTTTAGGCACCTCTCCAATTATCAATGACTTTTCAGAAGTAATTCTTAGAAGTTCAGTAAATTAGGGCTTGTCTACATAGTATACTAGTTTGCACTACAGGGGCATAAATTCTAATATGCACTAAGTTGGGGCACATTAACTTGTGGAGACCCTATTGACACACACTAAAAGCCCCCTGGGGTATATTAACATACGATTATTTGAAACAGGACTGCATTAGTACGCAATAGGAAATATTCATGCATTGGCAGGGTCTACAAGGAAAAGGTTATGCTAATATACTAATGTGCACTGGAATTTACCCTCTCCTGTGGACAAAGCCCTTTGTGAGCTAATTCCTTAATACCTCAAGATGCCCACTGAGATGTGCATTTGAATTTTCCAAGGAGCTCTGCACCTGTTCTTTTAAATCAAGACCTATTTTTACATTCTTGTTGTCACTTCCTAATTTCCCAAGTTTATTTTTCTTTAAAATGGTCAATTAACCCCCCCCAATAATCTCTGCTTATTTTTTTAGGATTGCCGTTAATCTTTTTTAGGTATCTGGATGCTGATTCAGAAGGGATGAACATATTCATGTACGTGCATTTCTCAATGTGAGCAATCCCAATGACACTAAAAAATAGGCATATTCTTATATATCTTGCTGATTTTTGGCCTTATAAAGCCCCACTTAGGATAGTATTTAGGTCCATTTCCTAATTTTTCCTCTAATATTGCCCTTAACCCAAACATCTTTATATAGACTCTTCACCCTTAAAACACTTTTGCTGTCATGAACTCTGTGTGTGTGTGTGTGCGTGTATGCGTGCACGCTCGCACATTTTTTGGACAGCCTGTGTGTTCTCTTCAAGCCTTAACTGACTATATATTCTGGTGTGGTCCCCATCATGTTTTTCCATTTACAGTGAATTTTTTTTACTCATTGCATCTTTGAACAGGCTCTTGAGAAGCCACACTGACCACTTCTTGTTCCTCATAATCATCTTTCAGAAGCACTGTAGTTGGTTATACTTTAATTATGGTGTTTTAGCATTCCTAACCGCTGTTCCATACAAGTGGATTTTTATCATTTCTTCTCCTGCAGCTTGTCCAGTAGGGTTCTTAATTGTCCCTGAATCTGCTTTCTTGAAATCTAATATTCTTGTACTAGTATTTCATGAGCCCTTTCTTCATCATATTTAATTTGTTACATGTGATCTCTTTCCCAATATTTTTATTCTCTGACAGTAACATTAGGATTTCTCTAGGAAGACACTATTAAAAGCAAATAGCTTTACTTAGGTTTTGAAGTATATGTCTACACAGCAACATTATTTTGAAATAACTAACGTTATTTCAAAATAACTTAGTCCACATCTACACAGCAGGCAGTTATTTCGAAATAATGTCAAAATACTGTCAAGCTGGAAGACTTCATACATCGACTCCTGTAACCCTCATTGTACGAGGAGTATGGAAAGTTGGAGGAAGAGTGCTCTCTCTCAAAGAAAGTGCTGTGTAGATGCTCTCAATTTTGAAATAAGCATTTGAAATAATGTAGCTCAATTTGCATAGCTTATTTCAAGTTAAGCTCTGGAAGAAATTGTTGACCAACATAAAAGAAGCATCCCTCTGAATGTCTTACTTTAGCATAAAAACTTCATCGATATCTCAGCCTAATACAACAATAAAACTTCATATATTATCTTCATCGATATCGCAGCCTATCTAATACAACAATAAAACTTCATATATTATGTAAAGAAGGTTATAATTTTTTTGAAAAATGAATTCATAAAAAATCAATGGCCATCTTGCATAAACACCACTTTATTATTCTGAACCTAGCGCCTTTACAGGTCTAACAAACCGTACAGTCATACCAGAAACTGAGCCTACAAATGTATGTACTCGGCTTTAGTTAGATAACATATTTGGGAAAAAAACAGTGGCCCAGGTAATTGTTTAATATTCCCTCCATAAGCATATACAATAAAAAATGTCACATTTTTATTAAAAGGTTCTTAACGCTTCTTTAGGCACACATCTCTTGGCATCAAACTTTTTTTTTTACAGTATTTTATAGTTTACTATTGAAGCTTTACAATTTGTTTTCAAAGCACTTAACTGTATTGGCAAGATAAAGAATTTCTGGTAATTCTTGAAGATGTTTTGTGAATTCAAATTATGGCTTCTGTAAACCAGAAATAACTTTAAATACATAAACATTAGACAATTATTGGGCATTATTCTTTTAGTGCATCAATTAAAAAGCTCCCCCAAAGCTAATAGTCTATACTAATATTTGTTCCATCTTGTATTTTACATTAAGCCACAGGATTGACTCCTAATGGTCACTAGAGAAGCTCTGATACATACACAGCTTGTAGGATTACACATCTATGCCAATAACAGAATTTGCATTTGGTCTGCTTAATCTCCAACCACTCACAACACGAATTCACTATTTCCTGATGAGAATGACAGAGTTGGGGAGGGACAGTAGACAGAGGGAGTAAGTCTGGAAGGAGGAGGAAAGGCAGGAGAGGAAGTGGGGAGGAAGCAACAAAATTCAGTGACTATGGGTAGCTTATTTTTTATTATCTGAGAAGTTATTTGACTTCTGTAGAATATTTGAGTTAGTGAAAACTGATAGAGGTATTATATTGCAATGCTTGCATTTACAATGTAGAAATAGCCACTAACTTTTAAGTGGCCACTGAAAGAAATAAACATACTACTATATTTTGGGTAGATAAGTAACCTTGACTTTCTGACTGAAGTGTACCAGAATAAAGAGCACAGCACTGCCCTGAGCAGAGCAGTTGAACTTTTTAAAAAACGTAAATAATGGGATTTATGACCATTCAGATTGAAGACAATGGCTGAGAAATTACCTTGAGTATATTTTTAAATAAACAGCTCCCTCCAGCATAGTATATTTAAATATGTATTAGAGCCATCTACAGGTAGGAAAATTTGTAATATGCATCTGGATAGTTTAAGCCAGTTGATTCCTACAACATGCTAGCACACACATCCATTCTTATCATTGTCCATGTGTGTCCAGGAAATTGCAAACTGATACACAGAGATATTAAAAAATGTCTAACAACACATTTTCAAAATATATTACTAACAAATAAAATATACTTTGGAGCATACAAATGAAAAGGATATTAGAACAAAATTGGGTTAGCAGCCTTAATAGGAAAAAAAAACCCAGTATTTTTACTGAAACATTTCTAATAACTTTTCTTATTTAGAAGGATACACCACGTGATTGGGTCACACCAGTACTTATTATGAACTGAAACACCAGTCCAATGGCATAAGTATTCTGATAAGTGTTTAAAGGCAGTGAAAACATACAGAAGTAATAGGAGTATGTTTATCTGTGTTCTTTTGTGGGATGGTTGGATTTCACTGTTGTCTATGTTTTCATCAGTGCTGAAGAAGCTTGAAAGCAGGTGAGCTGCAGGTGCATGCTACTTTTAAATTTGTTTAGTAGCTCTTCCAATAGCCTGTAAAAATAAAACAGTTGATAACTTTGGCATTATGGAGTTTTCAGATTTGGGGTGTTACAAGTCAGGGATATCCATTTATTTAGAAGGTAGCTAATTTGGCACATGTCCCAAGCTCTCTGACCCTGACAGGTTGAGGCAGTAAGATTTTTGTATATATTAAATAGTCAGGATTTTCCAATATAGCATGCCAGGAACAAACATGCACTGCTGCAAAAGCAGGTATTGTAGATGTACACTTTTTTTAATCTTTGTATTTTTTGCATACCTAGTTATTGTGGGTAATTCAAGGAAAATCTCATTCCTTTGTGTCTGAATTCCTCTACTATTTTCTTACCTTCCTATGTCAGAGAACTGTGTGCTCTGAAGTATTTTGCATGCTTTAGTAACAGATCCCGTGTAGACTACTGTTAAAGACCAGATACTTGAACAGAGAAACTGCTGATTCGTTCTAGTATGAAAATTTTTCACAATATTGCAGGAAAATGACAACTTCTAATAAGTGACACAAGCAGATAACATATTGGAAGGTGCATCTTTCAGGGAATCAGTAGCAAAGCATTGAGAATGTTATGACCAGATTCTGTTAACTTGCCACTTTCTCGTTTGATCTCACAAGGCTTTCTTATTAGGGATGTTAAATATCAGTTAACTGAATAGTTGATTAAGCTCATGAATTTTTATTGGTTACTCGACTATTATATAGTCCCCGGGAGTTGGGATGGCAGCCAGTGCAATCCCTGCCCAACTCCAGAGGAGTCCCCTGCTCTTCCATGCTGCTGCCTCTGTATCAGAGGCAACAGCACAGGGTGCCAAGCAGAACCAGTCAGTGAGGAGAGCCAGTTACAAAACCAGCTCGTGAACTGGTGGCCTGTTCCCCTGTGCTGTTGCCTCTAATACAGACGCAGCAGCGCAGGATGCAGCAGGCCCTGTCCAGGAGGGTGAGGTCAGGGGCTGAGCTGTCAGACCCGGCATGAGCCAGAACTGAGCTGGGCTGCCTACCCACCCAGCTTTTAATACACTTTAAATGCAGAGCTGTGGTAGGGGTAGGTCCTGGACCCGGTGCAAGCCAGGACTGAGCTGAGCTGCTGGCCAGTCTGCTAGAAAATGTACTGACAGGCGGGAGGGGGGAGAAGTATGTAGTCTACAGCATTAACCGATAAGCTTTTGCTTATCAGTTAACTGACTGCACTACTGCATCCCTATTTCTTGAGTTTTCTTTTAAAAAGAGTAAATCACAAAAGCCTGTTTTTATGTGGTTGAATATGATGAAAAGGAAAATTTCTACTTAAATCTTTAGCAGTTAGTTATGTGTTCCCAAATACAAGGTGAACTTACATCAGATCAAATGCTGGCACAGCAGCAAATACATGTTCTATTTAAACTGCTGCATAATGGGACAATAAAAATTATGATGTGCTCATGGAAGAACATAGTGTCAGGTGTTATCAAGTTGTATGCCTTTGCCGTCATATAAATGCTATCTCCAAAAATAAATTTTAATATAAAAACAGTCCTGCAAAAGAAAGAAAAGGGGCTTGTTTACCCCAACCTTTCCCCTTTTTTTCTGCTTTTTGATCTAGGTTTGTTTAGATTGCAAGCTCTTTCAGGCAAAAACTGTTTCTTCCTCTGTGTCTGTCCAGTTTCTACTACCCTGAAAACACACACAGAAAAAAAAAACCCATAAAAAACCAAAACCAAAAACATTCAACCATGTTAAAGTCTGGGTCATATGTCTACTTTGAAAGACTCTACGGTGTCTGGAGAAAAAAAATGAAATGGCAACAGTGCAAAAGTTAAATTAAAAGCTGAGCAAAAAGCAAGGTGAAGAAATTTTCCATCGGGCTTTTTAAAATGCTTTTTATTGTTTACATTAAGACATATTGAACTCAATGTAATTATTTCTATCTCAGGCATGGCTAGAGGCTCTAGAGGAGAATGGAGTCCCAACTGCACCAAAGAATTTACAGTCTAATACTAAAAAGGATGGGAGAAAGGAAGTACCATCACCTCCCTGTTCTACAGATACGGAACTGAGCCACAGAGAGGTTAAGTGCCTTGTCCCAAGTCACACAGGGAGTCTGTGGTAGAGCTAGGAATTGAAACCAGATCTCCTGAACACTAGTCGAGTGCCTTAACCACAGACTATCTTTCCTCTTGAGCACTGGTGCATATGGAGTATTTGTAACAATGAGTGTCTTTGTTAAAGATTCAATGCTCCCACCCCTTTAATTAGGTCAAACCGAACATCTCACATCAACAAAAAATTTCTCCAGAAAACCCAAGGAAGATCAGAATTTCTATTTGTAAGGTAAAATTAAGCATTGGGCGGGAAGAAAGGAAGGGGAGGTACCTCAAAATGTTTAGGTCTACATCAAAAGCAGAAAGAAAGGGCCCAGCCCTACACAATTTTATGAGACACTTTTGCAGGCTTCCTTTAAGCCAATCATTTCTTCTAAACATATAACTCATTGTGTGCTGTAATATTAACAGGTATGTTTCTTTCCCAGGATCCGCAAGTGAAAGCACAAAAATTAATATCCACTTCTCCAACAGCCCTCTAGGAAAGGCTGCCAGGACATATAGCATTCACATGCAGGCTATATTTCAATATTACATGGAGTGTGTTATTGGTAACACTAACAGCTCTGAATCATTTAATACAAAAATGAACAAAATTATTTGTAATTTTGTAATAAAACAGTTTAGAGATGTAATGATGACGTATCTGAGAAAATATCCAAGGCAGGGGTTCTCTAACTTCACTGCACTGTGACCCCCTTCTGACAACAAAAACTGCTGCATAATTCTAGGAGGGGGGACTGAACCTGAGCTCACCCAAGCCCAGGTGGGGGGAAGGGGAGGAATGGAAGCTGAAGGGCTTCAGTGCCAGGCGGGGCTTTGGCTTTCTCCCTGGGTGGCGGGGTTTTGGCTTTGGCATGAGCCTTAGGAAGTCTAACCCCTGTCTTGGTGACCCCATTAAAGCAGAGTTATGCCCCATAGTTTGAAAACTGTTGATCTCAGGTACAGAACATATCCTTAAGTAGGTCTCAGCTGAACTGCCCTCTGGGTCGATGTAGAGCTGTGAAAATTGTACAGTAGGGATCCGTTAATGGCTTAAACAGTATATTTAACTGATTAACTGCTTCAACAGGGGCCAGCCATGGACAGGGGCTGCTCAAGTTGGGCTAGAGTGCCCCCCCCACCTGTGGTGGGCCCTGCTGGGCTGGAGCAGATCCCTGCCCGCATCAGACAGGGGGCTGTCCCAGCTCACCTTTTAACCATAACTGGTCAGCATAACCTGGTGCGGGTGATGCTTACCAGTTAACCATTCACATCTCCACTGTATGGTGCTTTGTTTGTGAACAGCCCTTTGAGTTCAGTGCACAGTGGCTGGAAATTTACTACATCCTGCTGGTTTTTCCTGAAAGTTTGAGTTTGATAAACTCATTGCAAAGGGAAGCCTTCCTTACCCTCAAAGTAGCTCATTTCTCATCTCCTTAATCTGCTGTAGAGCTCTAAGAGGTAGGGAGAGGTCTTGATGTTTGTGGATAGCAGGAACAGGAAGTAAATGTTGGATACATGAATGGAGGCCCATTTTGTAACTGGCTGGGAGGGAATTCAAATTTTGTAGGTGTTCAAGCATCCTTTGCTTGTATTTATAGAATACTGCGGATCTGCAAGTAAGGTGAGGTCTGAATGGATTTTGGGCAAACGTTTCATGCATCTTTGGTTTTAGCATCAGAGACAGATGACAAATCAATGACAAGTTTGTTTTTCTGAGATGTGTGTGTAAATACATTTGTTATGGGCTCAACATTGTAAGGTGCTGAGTAGGCTCATTTGTCACATGGTATTACTAACATGCTTCAGTTTAAATGCACATTTAGGTTCTTTGCTAAACTGGAGTCACTGTGGCCACCATCTTCAGGTCTGAATCCTACTGGTCTCATATCAAGGTCTTTGTATAATACAATTAAGTGACAGTATAACTGGCTGCAGAATGATGGCCATTTAAAAAAAGTTATTAGTTTTTAATTATTTTCCAGAAACTAAGCTTTCAGTTAGAGAGAGAAAAAAAGAAGTTTCCAGCCCATACAGTCATGAAAAAACAGTAGAAATGAACACAGCGACATCTAATTAAATTTGCTGATAGCCTGAAACAATAGGTCTGAGACATATGAATCTGCCCGTTCACCACAATGGGTGTTAACTCTGAAAGTTAATTATGACATTTTAAATGTCGGCACTATTTCTTATTTTAGTATGACCATCAAGCTAACGTGCTTATGCACCACTGCTATATAGATACTGGTTTGAATATACAGGGCAGAATGATTTTTGTCAAGGGCTGCTGGGATGGAGAAAGAGGAATTAAATTTTCTCTTCTAATTTTAATGGAGCACCACATTCCCTCCTTATTTAAAGCCTCTGGATTATAAAACTGTCTTCTTAGTGTCCGAGTCAGAACTACAACAATGGCTGCCCGTCGCAGGGAGCCATAGCCTGTAATACCTCTAAGGCTGGTATAGGGGGCTCTGTCTGTGAGGTGGAGTGTTTTCCATATAAGGGCATGTAAATTAATAATCTTCCCCTGCTCGCTCCACCCATTGCAGTGAAAGATCAGCCAATGGGCTGACTTGTGCTCAGGCCTGCTACTCCACCCACTGCAGCAAAAACCAACCTATGGGGTGATAAGTTCACAGGCAATAAAACAGGCAGGCAGCCCCTCTCTCACTGGGGATTCGCATTGAGTGAACGCCTGGCCTGATCACCCAGACGCCTTGCACCCCCCGCTCTCGAGTCTTACTGAGTGTACTCCGAGTTGGTCGACCCGAGTGGAGACAGTTTATGAGCGTGTGACCGGTACTTGTGTTCCTGCTGTCTCCAGAACTGGTATAACACCCCCTCCCCCCCACCATCATCCCTATCCTAATTGATTTTTTAGTTGTCCTTATTGCTTGTCAAGTGACAGTGGTTAAAAAGTTACTAAGTTAGTTTATAAATAGTTGTGGTTTAGGTTTTTTACTGTTTCCTTGTATAAAGTTGTGTAAATAATCAGCCCTATGGACAATACCAGTGTTAATTCAACTGTTCCTAACCCCTGGGCAGTTATTGGGAATTATTGTGATTTAGAATAACCTCAGGGAATTGTTTTGTGTTGTCTGGCAATCTGTTTAATTTTTGTTCTGATGATTGTCTGGCATCATCAAAATAAAATCAGTTTGTGCTTTTTGAAACCCCCAGTTATGGTCTCATCCTTTCCGGCATCCCTTCGAACCTCGTGTATTACGGGGACTGACACTTTCCAGTAACAATATCTTGGTTCTACACTAAGAAAACAGGGTGGTATTAAAAAAGTTGCAAATACACTTACTTTTTGTCTGCTCCACTTAAGAGTTGAGGCAGGGCTTCCAAAGCTTGCTTAAAGCTTGAGCTGTAATACAAACACATTTAATTTTCCCCAGCTATAATAGCGATCTACTACTACCTCCCTCCGTATCTCCATGAATATAAACTTTAGTTCTGAAATGTATAACTAAATCAACACATTATCAGTTCAAAATCTCATAATTTGAACGCAGCCAGCCATAGGCTCAGGTAGACTTCTAGCTTGAGCAATTTCTAAGCCACTAAAAACACCTTAGATATTAGATAAACACAGGAGCCTGACAGTAAAAGTATTCACGCTGTACACAGGTGCTGACAGGGGCCACAGAGGGAGAGGAAACTGCTGCAATAACTGGTCTTAGTCATTTATTGTGGTATTGACAATGATCAACTGGACCAGCATGACAATGGACGTTCCTGGACCAGAGAGTCCTGGCTGGGAACATCAGTGGTGGTATGTCACTGGTGTTATGTCATTGGCTTCTGAACTTAAAAGAAAGGCCAATGCAGTCTGTACTAACTGGCATTCCAAAGTAATCCTACATAGAGGGCGGACAGTATTCAAGCGTGGTGGATAAAGTGTCAAGATCAGCACACAAGGTGGAAGGACAGAACATTCTGACCAGCAGCAAATGAACAAAGGTATTCCTGCCCATTACTTCTAGTTGTAAGTCCAGAAACCAGCAGGATCCTGATGAGATCCAGAGACTGAATCACTTTGCTCTGACTGCAACAAGAAGCATTTTCCTTTTATCTTATCTGTGTTTATACCAAATTATTTTCATCCCGATCCCTATCTCTCCCAGACAGGGAACAGGAAAGCAGTATTCAGAAAGATACTGCTTAAAATCTGATAATAAAACTAACAGCATTTCCCATTATCAGAGATGAGTTTAAGTACAGTTTTCAAAGTATGCCATTGTTTGAAATTAATCTGAAATAAAAAGTTCTTGAAACAAATATTTAAGCTATTTTTAGGAATTTTTGCTTAATTATCAAGCATTTCATTACATCAACAGCATAAGCTACTTAGCGTCTTACTTGCTTTCTGGTGTTAGGTATACGGCCACAGCATCTCGCAATGCATAAATTTCAAGCCTTGCCTAGAGACAGAATGTAACATTGTTTGAAATATAAAAAAATCTTTGGTTAATTAAACATGTGTGTCACAAAGCCTCTTGCCTCTCTTCAGAAGCAAAATATTACTATACACTGTAGCTTTAAGCAGCCTTAACTTCAATAATTTGTTTCCTGTATTTCTGGTTACCACTCTACCGTGTCAGTTAGGAAGTGCTGCAGGAACAATTACAGATCTGTGAAATTGAAGTCAAATTGTTTATCCAATCACTATGAAGTTGTCTCCAAACAAAGAGCAGTCTCTCAGTAACAGTACCAAAGCATGAAACTCAGGTGCTATTTTTCTGTTCTGAGAGAGCATTTCAAAGCTTTTTTATCTGTAGCTATTGCATTCTACAGAGTGAGCCTAGCTCCTTACAGCACATTTTGGCCAGAGAGGAAGATATCGCAAGAGACTAAAAATATGTAATACACATTTTATTCTGGGTTCTGCCGAATTTATTTTCTTGTTCAGATGAGGAAGTAGAATGTTTTTGCTCCATTTCTCTCATCTGTCACCTGCTGAGTATACAGGCTTGGGGATTTTACCTATGTGTCAATTTCCACCTGAGCAGGCTACAATGGAAAAAAGTAGTTTGGGTACATTTCCCAGGTAAAAGCGTATCTAGCAGGGTTTAAAAGATCTTTCTTTGTTCTCTCTGAAATCAGCGCCACCCTGGATTTTATGTGAAGATGGTAACTCCATGAATTTGATCAGCGCTTAAAAAAATTCCACTTACACATTTTTCTCTAGAAATGGATTAGGGCCACAAAGTCTGGATTCAAACTTCACTGCAATTCATAGTCAGCTTTTGTTCAGCCCACTACAAAGATTCTCTAAAATCCAGCCATGAAATGCAGAGACTGATCTGAACTAACCCAAAGTTAATAAAACCACATCAATTTTCTAATTAAGCTTTTAAAACTCTAATGTACAGATTTGTTTTCAATGGTAATCAAAGCTTTTGCTTGGAAATATCTCATACTGCATACATATAGAGTTTTTATTTTCCCCTGCTAGCTTCCTGGCAAGCATTAGGAAGTAGCAGACCACCAATTTTATGTTAAGGAGAAATGTTTCCATTGTAGAAAAATGGCAAGCATAGACGGGCCATATCACCTTTCTTGAACAACCTATACACTATTTCAGGATGAATGGGTTAGGATTTTTCAAAGCTGAGTGCCTTAAGCCCTTAAGGGCTTTTAGACTCTCTCCCCACCACCACCACCACCACTAAAATTACTGGGTTTTAGTGTAACACTGGGTTGTAGTTTTGTCTCAGTTTTAAGAGGCAATAACCTATTGTGGTAGTGGTACATTATCAAGCCCCACTGTGGTAGTGGCACATCATCAGGAGCCATAGTTTATACCTAACCTCAAGCACATGGCTAGGGAATGAGTGAAGCCTGGATGCATATCTGTATAAGAGGAATAGATGTTATAAACTGATTGAAGCATCCCTTGTCAAAACTTAGTCCTTTCCACAGGGAATGGGTATTTTTGAGCAGGCTGATCTGGTTCATACCCCACTGGTTTAGTTACAATCAATCTACCATTAGCAAGGGCTGATTATGGCCAGAATGATATAAAGGCACCACAAATGACAAATTGTACTGTTGGTAAAAACAATCCTTTCAGTTATTGATTCAAGGAATGAGTTCAATAAAAGGTGGGCTACTCATTTAAACTGTGTAGAACCTTTTTGTCAACCTTAGTTGACTAGTACAAGAAGCCCTTCCCACATGAATTCTCCCTCAAATGCTACTCTACTAAGAGTATTTGGAAAGTAATACAAATATAAGGTTTATAATAAGTTTTAGAATACCGTGGGATTTAAATTTAGGCTCCCCCCACCAGATGCCAAGACTGCTGGAAAGAATAGGAAACGGTACAGGGTACTGCCTGCAAGTCCCATTTGAGGCTGCATGTCACAGAGAGTGCCCTTTGAGTCAAAGGGAGCTTTCTTTTTTCTTTAGACTCCTCTAGAACTAGTTCAAATTAAGAGCACAAACTACTGCACCAATCAGAAGTGAATGAAATATCTGTGATAAAATATGTTTTCCCCACAGGTTGGTACAGTGCCACCACTTCAATGGTCTGAGTTCAAATAAACAAGCACTGTTACAATCTGAAAGATCCTGTCACACAGTATATTGAATTTGTTTTAAAAAAAATCACAAGCTTGATTAAAAAACCAACAAAAACAAAACAAATATTTGAACACACTCCTAAGACTTTGTATTTAATATTATTAAACTACAACTACACTGGGTAAACTCCTGCCCCTTCAAAATGCCTTTTGAAACATGTACATAATTAATGGGAGATAAGCTATCAGAAGGCTCATGTAGGCCAGTATGGCATACAAAGCTTCTTTATACCAGACCACTGTGGATTACATCATACCACATTTCAGTCTGCAATGTTTTCCTTCTTTCTCACATTTGTGAAATACCATATGTATTTAATACATTTACATCTATTATATTTTAAATATACACTAGTTCCACCCTTCTGATTTCACTAGGGCATGGAATCTTCTGCTCCAATTAAGTCCAATTGCTAACTAGAGAGCATAAATATTCTATGGACCTTCCTCTTTAAACATTAAGTAGATAATACTCTAAAATATATCTTTGTTACAAAGAGTGTTCATTTAGATTTTCAGTTGCTTTAGATTTCTAAAACAAATCTGAAAAAAACAAGATAGGTGCTGGCTGCAGTTTTCCATTTCTTTTATATGAACAATTAAAAATGAATTTTAAAAGCTAGACATGTTTTTAAATACAAGACAGAGAAAATCTGAAGTAAAACCTGAGTATGAAGATATTTTAAGATGTAAAATTAATTGACAAGTCACAGACCATAGATAGCCTATAGTTCTTCACAAGTGAAAAGATTCAAAACATTGACTTAAGAGTTTTGCCTGAGTAAGGACTACTAGATCTGATCTTATGAAAAATGTGATGAAAGCATGTATTCTATAAACATTTTACTAATGATGCATCAGGATTATAGTGAACAAAACCTAAGAATATATCCTTCCTTACACCTCTTTTTGAAGCTTAATTTCACAAGAAAACTCAAAATAAATTGTTAGAAAAAATGGGCCAGGCATTCCCTCTCCCTCCTCATATTAAAATACTCGGTCCACAGTTCATCGACTCATTGTAATCTGAAATTGGAATAGCAGAACTTTTGATAAATGGATCTTTAAGAACATCTTTAATAGTCATTTTTGCAAGTCTCTCTGTTGTGATGTAATTTTGCAGCCAGGCCTCCTTCTGGAGTCTTACAATATAGGAAATGTTTTTATTCTCTCTCCAAAGAGAGGAACAACATACCACTATTACACATCAATACACTGTCCTTTCCACTCTAAGACCAAGAGATTTAAAATTGAGCTATAAAATACAGTTCAAAACATTATTACAAACAAAATCTTTGCAGACTTAAAAATACAATCAAAATATTGAATGGGTTGCTATAAAATAATGAGTAGGAATAGAACGTCTACAGCAGCTTTTTGTTGCATTTTTGAGTACAGATTACAGGCTGAACCTCTCTAGTTCGGTACTGTCTGGACTGGCAACATCCATGGTCCAACATGATTTTACTTAGCCGGATGTGCATTTATTATAGGTGTAGTCAAGTTTCCTGCAGTCTCGGTTCTTATTGTTCTGTGCTGTTATTTAGCTTTAATTTACCCTAAATATCTTCTATGAGTCCAGTAAGCAGTGGAAGAATTCGTAATGCTGCTAGACAATGCTGACCTCCTGTGGTTCGGCACCAGTCAGGTCCCAAGGGTACTGGACGAGAGAAGTTCAATCTGTATTATGCTACAATTTAATAACAACAGGGGATCTCTCTAATTTTCTAGCTATAATACTTCCAAGTTTCTCAACTCAGAAACATGATACTGTGTACAATACTGTGTACAGATGTGGTCTCCTCACCTCAAAAAAGATATTTTTGCCTTGGAAAGGGCTCAGAAAAGGGCAACTAAAATGATTAGGGGTTTGGAACAGGTCCCATATGAGGAGAGGTTAAAGCGACTGGGACTTTTCAGTTTAGAAAAGAAGAGACTGTGGGGGGATATGATAGAGGTATATAAAATCATGAGTGGTGTGGAGAGGGCCGATAAAGAAAAGTTATTTATTAGTTCCCTAAATAGAAGAACTAGAGGATACCAAATGAAATTAATGGGTAGCAGGTTTAAAACTAATAAAAGAAAGTTCTTCTATGTACATTGGACAAACGTCTCAGATACTTTGCCAAAGGATCAATGCCCACAAAACAGATATTAGACAGGATCACAAAGACAAAACAGTTTCTTGCCATTTCAACCAGAAAGGACACTGTCTCAACAACCTAATTACCTGCATCCTACTCCAGAAGACTTTCAAATCTGCACTTGAAAGGGAATCCTCTGAACTGTCATTCATGCTAAAATTCGATACTCTTCAAGGGGGGCTCAACAAAGACACCAACTACCTTACCCATTACAAAGATAGCTTCCCCATTTATCACCTCTAATACCATTAGCTCACAGAAATTTACCTTTCCCCACCTCTAATATCATTAACTCACAGACACTTACCTTCCTCCCCCACCCTTGAATTGCCCTTCTGTTCTGAAATGTGATTTGTCCTTTTCATATGTGTTCACTTTTTTTTAATTGTATCCTTTGGTATATATAGTTGTGACTATTTTCTTCCACTATTTGATCTGAGGAAGTGGGTCTGGCCCACGAAAGCTCATCATCTAATAAACCATCTTGTTAGTCTTTAAAGTGCTACATAGTCCTGTATTTTGTTTCTTCTTCACACAGCGTGTAGTCAACCTGTGGAACTCCTTGCCAGAGGAAGCTGTGAAGGCTAGGACTATAATAGAGTTTAAAGAGAAGCTAGATAATTTCATGGAGGTTAGGTCCATAAAAGGCTATTAGCCAGGGGATAAAATGGTGTCCTCTGTTTGTCAGAGGCTGGAGAGGGATGGCAGGAGATAAATCACTTGATCATTGTCTTCGGTCCACCCTCTCCGGGGCACCTGGTGCTGGCCACTGTCGGCAGACAGGATACTGGGCTAGATGGACCTTTGGTCTAACCCAGTACAGCTGTTCTTATGTTATGTTCTTATGATAACACATTTATCTACCTGTAAAGCTCCATTTTTACTGAATGATGACACACACTGCATCAGTCGACTTAGTTCTTCAGCAACAGATTCTACAATCCTTGACAGTACTCGAGGCACTAATTCCTTAGAGATGGTGAATACCTGCAGGTTTGAAATCAGAGTTATAAATTGGGTATATAGGATGTTAGCATGGATATAGAAGAAGTTAACCTTCATTACCTGCTTAGCTGCTTTTTCAAAAAGCACCTTCTTCCCCCAGTTCAGCCATTTTGTTATGGCTTATCATAGCTCTAGCCTGAAAACTCTCTGGACTTTATTTTTTATTACTTGCTGTCTAACGTTAAGACCAATGGTGCCTGAATTCCCAATTAGGGTTCATAGTTACTGCTGCAATTCAGTTTAATAATGATATAAGAGTAATCTCCTAAGAAGCTTACAAAATACAAGAGCAATACAACAATTAGGTGCTGAAATATGATCAAGAAGTATCAAAAGAGACACCAGAGGTAAAAAAGTAGGTTTTAAGAAGAGATTTAAAGACAGTGAAAGGGATAATAGGAGAGAAAATTGGGCAGAACACAGGGCAAAGAGTGCGTAAGAGAAAACAAGAATGGTGCCATAGATAGAACAGAGTTGTGTTAAGCCTTGAAGAAGAATATGAGGAACAGTTTGGATTACATGTGGAAAAAAGAGGGGAAAGAAAAATGGATGGTGAGTTGAGGAGGAATTGATGTGATCAGTCATGGAAAAAGATGCTTTTGGTTAGAAATATTATTATTCATTTATTTGGATTTAAAAAACAAACAAACAAGCAACAACAAATAATTGGGTTACACTTTGATTCAAAACTTTTGCTCTATGTGAAAGTTAGGAATGTATCTGATCTAACAATGAAAACCTGTTTTATAGAAATGCATAGTCAGTGGAAAATACTAGGAGAAGGTATGTTTATGAGTAAAACTCAAATATGAAATTAAGAACCATACCTGATTGTTTACCATATATGTGAGAGTGATGTGTCATGGACCACACAGACTAGACAACCAGTAACGTAATAGATTTGCACCACAGCCAAGGTATATTTACCGCACATATGCGGGCTATCAGTCACTTACCCTGCTAGTTCAAATACTCATCTTGCTTTTAACTGCTTTGACCCACAAAAGCCAACAACGTTGATCACATACAGAGAAAAATGGTTAAAGCAAAATGGGAAAAGTCCATTTCATGCAGTAGCAGTTGCTGCTGAGCAATACAAGACAAGAAATACCAAGTAAACGGTCAAAACCTTCTACTGAGAAGGAAGTATTTGTACTCACGAAGGCCATGCTCAATGTTAGTTGTCAGAACTTAGGAAAAATTCTCAGTCATACTAAATCACCATATTTTTGCAAAAACTATACTTATTTTGGTTTCAGCTCAAATTTGACTTTTTAATTAACAGGTTTTTTCACCTCAAAACATGCCTGTTGAACAGTTGATAATTAACTATTATTGTTTAAACTATAAAAATCAGCAGTGTTGCTAGCAAAATCTAAGACTGATCCAGATTAGCAAAATTTTGCCAGAAAACAGCGTTACACTCTTACAGAAATTGTAAAATTTCACATCAGCGATCAAATTCATATACTTCTGTAAACAGATGCAAAAATGTAATTTCACAAATAGAAATTCATGAGGCAAAACTGAACATCAGAGAAACAACTAGCTTCCAAGTCAGCAAGGTATCTATATATGTGTCCTAATTTTAAGCATGAGTAGTCTAATTGAAGTCAGTGAGACAATAACTTTACTTAGAGTTAGTCATGTGCTTAATTGTCTGTCTGAATTGAGACTTAGCTATAATACCTACTTACAAGGTTATGGTCAAGTTAAAATCATTTTAAAAATATTTGTTTCAGAGGAGTAGCTATGTTAATCTGTTTCAGCAAAAACAACAACAAGAAGTCCTGTGGGACATTATAGACTAACAAATTTATTTGGGCATCTGCTTTTGTGGGCTGGAATCCACTTCAACAGTAGGTTCCAGCCCACAAAAGCGGATGCTCAAATAAATGTGTTAGTTTATAAAGTACCACAGGACTCCTTGTTGTTTTTATTGTCCTTACTTGTGTTTATTAAAAGCAGTTTAGATTATTAAATTGAATTAAAAAGAAAAAAATGAACATCATTTGTCTGTTTAATTCACGTAATTTACTCATCCTGGAAAATGAAAACTAATCATTTTCATTATGGTTTATAGTTCTGTTAACTCCTTCATTCTCAGGTATTGGAACAATTTGCACTACAACACTGGAGGAAAATACCTGCATCGAAGCAAAAATCTGTTTTAATTGGAATTCCAAAAGCTATGAAAATATTTCAAGTAGCATTAGTGGTCTCTAATTAAAGAAAATATTTAAAAGGAGCCTAAAATACTCAAAAGCCAATTTTAAGCAATTTAAGAAGGTCTAAAGAAAGAATAGTTTTATTTGTGCTGTGTGAATGCATGGTTTTAATAACACTAATGAGAAAATACATTTTGTGATGGTGAAGGATAGAGTTATTTAGAAGAGATGCTATAACTAAACTACTGTAGAAAATTCCTGAACTTTCTAAACTCACACTCCTCCTCTCCATTGCAAGCCATGGCCCATTTTCTATATATTTGTGATTCTCAAACTGGGGATTGTACTCTCAGCAGAAAAGCTCACAGGTCCAATAGGTCAGATTCAGCTGATGATGTGATACTGTCTGCCCACAAACACACCCAGATTTGCTCCAGAAACACTGCTCACTAGTAGACCACTTTGATCTACAAAATGGTGACCTCCACAAAGTGACCTCCAAATGCCATGTGTGCAAGGTCACTCTGTGCAGAGATCACCATTTTGTAAAACAGTAGCTTCCTGGATGCTATTTAACCTTTGCACATACTGGCTGTGCCAGTATCTAGACTTGAGGAGTGAGACCTGAGTTCAGAAGATACTTATCTGTGGGAGCAGCAGGTTTACCAAAAGAGCATCCTCTCTGCTTGACCTGGTAGTTCCTGCTAGCCTTTTCTGAGATTAGAATATGCAGTGGTTTGTAAGATGCTTAAGGCAGGGCCCATAACTTCTTATCTGCCACCCACTTAATAAAGAATCACTGTAAATTGTTGTAAGTTACTGTTTGTGATGAAACTATCTGGCCTGCCACACATTACCTGCCAGAGGGAGTAATGGTTTGCCTCCTTTTTTCCCTGATATGGAATATTATAAAGTATTACTAGGTGTGAAACCTGCTTGCAAACCCTCATGCCATGGATTTGATAGCAGCTGAAATTGATTAGCTCACTGAAATTTACTGGGATTAATTTTTGGGAAGAACATATGCCCAACTTTCTCTTCTGGAGTTCTGGTTCACAGTCAAGAATGAGTACCCTGCACTCTCAACACCTGCACTGAAACTGATGTGTCTTTCATGAGCACATATTAATATAAAGCTGTATTCAGCACACTTGCATCCATCAAGTCTCAGCATCCATCTACCCACTGATGTAACAATTAGATTAGATGTATTCTTTCTACTACACAACCAGATTTGAAAAGTCGTGTTGCAACACACTAGTCCATATGCTCACACTAGAGAGCATTAAACAACATACTTAAAGTGTAAATTCCTTGGATTCCTTGGTTGTCACGTTGCATTGCCAGGGTCACAAGAACAAAGTCTCAAAATGGGGTCATGCAGGCATATATATACTACGCAGTGACTCCAGATTTTCTATTTGTGCTTGATGAATTTCCATGCAACATGATGTACGTTTTCCCCCTCAGGCTGCACATGTTCAACACTTCCCCCACACTCCCATCTCTAGAAGTATATAGACAGAGCACTATATTTTTTTTAAATGTGCACAGAAAAAAAAGAATTGAGTTTTATAACTTTGACTTTCCTTCTCTTCAGACTGTTGAAAGAAAATAAAAAGCATACACCAAGGACGTGTCTCCAAAGGGAGTTAATCAAGAATAGCTGTTTTGGAATAACTCCACAAGTGGACACCTATTCCAGAACAATATTACCTTATTCTGAATTCATTTAAACCAAACTAATTTGGAAGAAGACACTCTTATTTACTGTTAGTTTGTTTTGACCTATCCTGTTTTGAAACAGGAGTAGATTAAAGTCCATTAGGGAATTTAGAGCACAGCAACAGACGGTTAGGATAAGAGCAGGATAGCATAAAGTAGGTTTACACCCCAGCTTGCTGCGTGCTAACTGTTCACATAGATAAGCCAATTTTAATCTATGCTATTTCAAAATAAGACACTTATTTCAGAATAAGATGTCTACACCTGGAATTAATCAGGAATAATTAATCCATGTTAAATTCATGTGCTACTTATTCTGGATTCATGTTCAGTGTAAAGAATGCAATATGTGGTTATTACTGATGACAAATAAAATCTGTTTTAAACACAAATAAAAATGGGCTGATTTTCAGAGGTGTTCCCTTCCAATGAAATCAGCCAACTTATTTTGTTTGATGCTTGTAATAATATGAATAATCTAAATTTACTTCACCTCTGCATGCACAGCTATGATATTCACTAATGCTTCTTTCAAATAGTTTCTGACACCTGAAACAAAACAAAAAGGGTAGTCAGTCACTTTCACTGTGATATCTTGACAGAGCTATGATATTACACTCTTCAATTATACTGTTCCAGTGTACTTTTTCTTTTCATTTCTTTAACTAACACATTTGCAATCATAGAGGCAGAAAGAGAAAGTTCCAGTCACACTGCCACAATCTATTTCCTTTTTTTAAAATCAAATGGAGAAAGGCACATTTCCTTACAGCAAAAGGTTAGAGAAGCCAGTAGGTTCCTGTTTCAGTATTCTTCTGTTGTATGACAGCCTAACTTTGATAACCTTTTCAGTTTACCACAGATCCAATATAAAAATAATCCCTTAATCTAAAGGTCCTGTTAATATACATGAAATATACCATATTATATGTGTATCAGGCAAGTGATATTTTAAGAAGCAAACAGACAACAGGATTACATAGCTTGCAGAAGATCTCACTCCTATTTCTTTTGTAGCTTCTTTGATTGTGAAATATTATTATAAATGGAAATAACAAATCTTGTTTCTATGGAAGTGGTTTTAGCAGATATTACTCATAACAATTTATAGCAGATGTCATACTTATGTAGAAGAAGTTTCTTTGGGGAAAAAGTTCATCAAGCAGTTTATTTTCTAACCTAAAATGTTTACAGTAGTATATAAAATATTTGTTCGGAATGAATTCATTTTGATATGCTTAGTTATAACATTCAGTCTATGCTGTTCTATTCTTTCCTCAGCTGCAACTGATGTAAATCTGGAGTTACTTCACAGAAATGGACTATTCTGTTGTAAATACAGAGTAACAGAATGTATCTGGTCCTTTGTGTACATTGCTTTGCAAGCAATGCCAACATAGGTAGGGTTGCCAGGTGTCCAGTTTTTATGTGGGAACCTGGCAGCTCTTGTCAGCATTACAAAACAGGCTGTTAAAAGTCCAGTCGGTGTTGGCGGGCTCCCTACTTGGCTTCGTGTGGCTCCTGGAAGTGATAACATGTTCCTCTGGCTCCTAGGTGCATGGGTGGCTAGCGGGGCTCTGCGTGCTGCCCCTGCTGCATGCCCCGACTCCAAAACTCCCACAGGCTGGAAACCGCAGCCAATGAATGGGAGCTGCAGGGCAGCACCTGCAAGTGGAGGCAGCACATATTGCACAGAGCCTACTGGCTGCCCCTATGCCTAGGAGATGAGAAACATATGACTACTTCCAGGGAGCGCCCCTTCCCCAAGATAAGCACTGCTCCGAACCTGCTCCCTGTACCCCCTCCCACACTACAATCCTCTCTGCAGCCTTGAGTCCCCATCCCATCCCCAAACTCCCTCCTGTAGGCCACACTCTGCAATCCAACCTTCTGTCCTAACTTTGGACACCTTCTGCACTCCCATCCTTTGTCTCCCCCACTCCAACTGGAAGCTAAATGGGAACCCTTTTTCTGCACCCAAACCCCCACCTGGAACTCACCCACCCTTCCACGCTCCAATTCCCTGCCTGATACCAGAGTCCCCTCTCACATCCAAACTTCCTCCAGGAGTCTACACGCTGTATACCCTCCCACACCTCTGTTCCAGCCTGAAGCCAAGTCCTGTTCCCTGAACCCCTCATTCTTGGCCCCAATTCAGAACTCTTAGCCCCAGCCCAGAGCCCATACCTCCTGTGGCACCCTACTCCCCTGCCTCAGCCTGCAGCCTCTTCCCAAATTCCAAACCCCTCAATTCTACCCCCCCATTAGTAACCCAAACCTGCACTCCAAACCCTTCATCCCCAGCCCCACCCCGTCCCAGCTAAGAGCCCCCTCCTGCATCCTGAAGCCCTCATTTCTGGAACCACCTTGGAGTCCACACGCTCGATCTGAGCCCTCATGCTCTCCTGCATCACGACTACCTGCCCCAGCTTGATGAAAATAAGTGAGTAAGAATAGGGCAGACTAAGTGACAGAGAGAAGGGGGACAGAGTGAGTGGGGGCAGTGCTTCAGAAAAGGGGTGGGGCAAGGATGCTTGATACTGTGCAATGAAAATGTTTCCAACCCAATGAAGAAACCAAAGCGTACTCTCTCCACTGTCACGTGACAGTGGACTCAGTTTGTGTGTTTGCTTAGTTTAGTTTAACTGCTGGCACTGCAAATCTAGCTTGAGACTTGAAAACCAGGCTGCACTTTTTACTTTCCATCAGGACTAGTTCAAACATTCCCAGAGTTCCACTAGCACTCACCCTTGCAATCCATATCCCTCTCAGCTTAGTATTAAATCTGTATTTTGTATATATAAAATGTATACATTTTCTTCGTTATTCACAGATGGATAGAGCTAGGAAGACTAAGGGGTCCAGACGCATCCTGGATAAATCTCACTTAGGGCAGGTCTCCTACATTCCCATACTCTTTAAATCTCACTGGGGGAGGGAGGGCATGGTGATGTTGTGCATGGGGTAAGAGAAGTTTTGCAATGCGGGCTAGGCCCTAAAGTCACTGATTCGCCAGGGTAGAGAGCGATACTGAACTGAGATCACAGATATTCCCTGCTAGTACTGTACGAGGAGGAGAAAGGAGCAGAGCAAGTACGTAAAGAACACTTTCTCCATCTCATTTTCTCCATCCCCTGTCACCCACCTCCTTGCCAAAGGATGCGGTAAAGGCTAGGATTTTAACAAGGTTCAAAAAAAGAGCTAGATTGATGCACCTAACCTCCATGAATCTATGGCTATAGTCAGGATGGGGAGGAATGTGGTCCCTAACCTCTGTTTCTCTGGAGGTGGGTGACAGGGGAGGGATCACACGATGATTACCTGTTGTGATACCTCCCTCTGGGGCATCTGGTATTGGCCACTGTCGGCAGACAGGATACTGGGCTAGATGGACTGTTGGTCTGACCCAGCATGGCTGTTATGTTCTTAAGGACCCTTCACAACTCCGGGGTGTGCTGAGTGTCCAAACTGGTCTTCTGAGTTACTATAACTAATTTCTGTGATTTCTTCAGAAGCCAGTGTGGCCTGAGGGACAGCCACACTGTCTAGCTGCTCAGGTGGCCTGGGTAGTAGCTGCACTGGCCACTGCTGGAGCAGTTGTATAGACAGCCATTCCTCCACGGCCAGCCACACTGGCTGCTGCTTGGGTGGCCTGAGGCAGCTGGTTTGGGGACCACCTGAGCAGCAGTCCTAGGGGTGGCTGGTATAGCTGCTGCCTGGAGCCCTCCCCAGAGCAGCGATTTGTCCCACCTAAGATTTAGTGAGGGGTATTTATAGTACAAGTCATGGACAAGTCAGGGGCCATGAATTTTCGATTATGGTCCATGACCTGCATTTGACTTTTACTAAAAATACCCATCACTAAACCGTAGCCTTAACTATGACCATGTATTAACGTTAGAGGCCTTGGTCACATCTGTGTAACTCCACACTGTTCAAATTATGCTTTGAATCACGTGTATGCAATACTATCACTCTTAATGCATTTACACCATTATAAAGTAACTGATAACCTTTAAAATCAAAACTTAGGAGACAACTATGTTCACTCGGCATTGGAAAGAACAGAATCACTCTTTGCTTGTTGGTTCTGAAAGTTTAATGGGAATAAAAAAAATATAACGATCTATTTACAGCATTAACCTCAGTAGACAGGATTCAGAATACAGACAGGGAGCAGATCTGTTCAGGAAGAAGGTTTCATTTTTACATAATCACTTCAGTCCAATGCTATGCCTAGAAACACAGGGCTTCTCATAAACTCTAGTTGTTCAGGTGGCCTTGGCATCATCAGGCTTTTATTTATATATTCACACGTTCTCTTCCTTGAAAAACAACAAGTAGTCCCGTGGAATCTTAGCAACTAACAGAAATATACATATAGTATCATGAACTTTTGTGGGTAAAACCTGATGAGATAATCTGGATTGGAGAAATGAAGGGGGATCCTCAGAATAAGAAGGGAGAGGAGAAAAAAATTACCTGTCAATTGTAGACCCAGTGCTAATGAGGCTAATTGAGTGGGCTGGAAGTGTCCCATTCTTAGCTTTTGATGTCAATAGGTTGTTGAATGTAAGGAAAACTGGTTTTATAATATGCTAACCTGTTCAAGTCGTTGTTCAGGCTAAGGGAGATGGTGTCAAATTTGCATATGAAGGTTAATTCTGCACTCTCTCTCTAATTGGCTTGTGAAATTCCTTTGTAGAAGAATGGTTACTTTTAAGTGTATTAATGAATGCCCACGGTGATTAAAATATTCCCCTACAGATTTATTTGTTTTACCATTCCTGTGTCCATTAATCCTTTGTTGCAATTTGGCCACTACAGGCAGTCCCCGGGTTACGTACAAGATAGGGACTGTAGGTTTGTTCTTAAGTTGAATCTGTACGTAAGTCGGAACTGGCGTCCAGATTCAGCCGCTGCTGAAACTGATCAGTTTCAACAGCAGCTGAATCTGGACGCCAGTTCTGACTTACATACAGATTCAACTTAAGAACCCCAGGCATCCCCAAGTCAGCTGCTGCTGAAACTGATCAGTGGCTGATTCCAGGAAGCCCGGGGGAGGGGCTTCCTGTAGTCAGCCACTGGTCAGTTTCAGCAGTTGTGAGGGGGGAGCCAGGCTTCCTGACTCAAATCAGCATGTGTCAGGGGGGCCAGTACAGCCTGTCAGGTGGGTGCTGCGAGCCCGGGATGCACTCGGGATGAGTGACCCTGCGCCTCTAGGCCTCGACTGTTAATAGCCTGGGGAGAAACTTTCAAGACACCAGAAATGTGCGCCTGCCCCTGTCACTTGTGCCACAGACACCGCCGATCCTGTGCGTGTGTTGGGGGCTAGGCTGTCGCCAGGCCTGGCAGAGCGGGAGGGAGGCTCTTCCCGGCCATGGAAGAGCGCTTCACTGTGAGATGGAAGGGCAGTCTTAGAACAGCAGTGACCCAGGTAACAGTGCTCAGCTAGCAGCTGGGAGGCAGTGCAGGGCTAGGTGAGGGGGGCAGGGCAGGCACTGGGGACTCCAGGGGTGGGGATAGTGCTGGGGGTAGGAGGCTCTAAGAGGTGGGGGCTTGCACTGGGGCTCTGGAGGCAGGGCTAATATTGGGGGTTAGGGGAGGCTCTGGGGGATTGGGTGCAGCAGGGAGTTTAGGGTAGGAGCCTGGGTGCAGGGAGGGGGTGGAAGTCTGCCCTGGCTGGGGGGCAGGGCTGGAGGAGAGTTAGTTAGTTTCTGTCTGGGAGCATGGAGGAAGCAGCCTCAGCTACAGGCTGGGGGGTTTAGAAGCCGAGAACCCTGCCCCATGTCAAGGGGGGCTGAGGCATCCTAGGCCTTCCCTGTAACCAGATTACATCTGTGCTGTGCTGTATCCTGGAGAAGCAATAAACACCCTCTATTCTACTGGCTGGGGGGGGGTGGCTTGGCTCTGCCTTGCCTCCCCCCCCCCCCCGTACCCCTGGTCTGCAGACCAGGGGGATGGGGGGGGAGGCAAAGCAGAGCCAAGCCTCGGAGTGCGTGGGCAGCGGACAGCCCTGTCCGCTGCCCACGTGTTCCGCCGCTTTGCTTCCTCTCCCTGGTCTGCTGGAGACCAGGGAGAGGAACGGCCCCGTTCGTAACTGCGGATCCGACATAAGTCGGATCCGCGTAACTCGGGGACTGCCTGTATACATGGCAGAAGGGCACTTGTTGGCATGTATCACATTAGTGGATGTGCAGTTAAATGAGCCCCTGACATGGTTAGGTTCTGTGATGATGTCACTTGTACAGATGGGTGGACAGAGTTGGCAATGGGATTTATTGCAGGTATAGGTTCTTGGGTGAGTATGTTTGAGGTGTGATGTGTGGCTGCTGGAAAGAATTTGCTTCAGGTTAGGGGGCTGTCTGTAAGTGAGGATTGGCCTGTCCCTCAAGGCCTGTGAGAGTGACGGGTCATTTTCCAGATTAGGCTGTAGATGTAGATTGGCAATCGTGCGCTGGAGGGGTCTGAGCTGGGGACTGTAAGTGATGACTCATGGTATTCTGTTATTTTCCTTGTTAGGCCTATCTTGAAGAAGCAGATTCCTGAGTACTAGTCTGGCTCAGTCTAGTCTTCACTTCTCCAGGTGGGTATTTAAGTTTAAAGAATTCCTGATAAAGATCTTAAAAAAATCCCTTAAAAACAACAAGTGGTCCTGTAGTATATCTTAGAGACTGACAAAAAATATATAGTGTCAAGTTACCCTTCTGAGACTGATAATGCTCTTGTAGGTGTTTGTCTCTGTCTATGGGATTGGAGCAAATTTGGTTGTATTTTAGATCACTTCATCTGAAGTGGGTTTTGCCCACGATAATACATTATATATATTTCTACTAATCTCTAAAGTGCCACAGGACTACTTGTTGTTTTTAAAGTTGCAGACTAACACGGATACTCTTCTGAGACTTCTTTGAAAAGTTTTTCATTTAAACTAAACAAAAATAACCAAAACCAAAACTGTAGTGTAACTGCATTCTTTCCAAAGTTCCAGAACTTTATAAATCCCTCTCCGCTTTTGCTCTTTATTACAAGGTGGAAAGGGGAAAACCCTGCAATACAATTTTTTTTTTTTATGATTTGTGAAACTGGCTGAAATAATATTTTCCTTGTAATTATCAAACCAAAGTGGGGATATTATTCACTACTATCTGTACCCTGTCAAAAGTCTCAGGTTGATGTGAGATTGTGAAATATTCCCTTAATCTCTTTTCCTTTTAATCTATCTTTCCCCTCTTCTCCCCTACTTTCCTTTCTTACAGCTTAGAACCTTTGTAGGTTGCATCCAACAAAGGACAACACAACCACACATAGCCAGACATAGTCTAATGAATTAGCATACTACATCAGTTCTGCCTTAGGAAACCCATTAGAGAGGTAGAAACATTTTTGCAATAGACATGGTCACTGATCATAACAGCTATCAGTCACATGGAAAAACATGAAGAACAAATACCAGTTGCATCAAAGCACTGGAATTTTGGTCAAAATGTTTTTCTTTTTCATAAAGTATTTCTGAATTAAATTATACATTACATTCTTCAGAGTAACAGTATGCATTAAGCAAAGAGAAAGTTAAAAAAGAAAACATACAGGATAAGTAGACACAGTTGAGTTATGTGATCTCAGTAAAAACTAGGAAAATGACACGTTGCTGATAAACATTGTTAGCAACTGCTCCCACTAAACCGGCAAGATAACGAACAGTTTTGTATCTCTTACACTTAGTAAAGGCCATTTTCAATAGCTGTTTGAGGAGACTTGTTATGACAACCGTTATCATTAATGAGTCAATTTCTAACCATATATAGAGCACAAGCAGTTACTATAGGGATGTTAACAGACACTTATTTTTGTAAACGTGTAACCGCTGAATATTTCAGTGGTTATATGTTAACATGCAGGGGAGCAGGCGGGAGAGCTGGCTTTTAAGCCGGCTCCCAACATGTACCGGTTCCTGCCTGCACCCCCTCCTGTACTGCTGCCTCTGATACAGCTTTCAAGCTGTCTCCGCATGTGTACAGTGCTCCTACCTGCTGCCCCCCTTTCCCTGTTGCCTCTGAGGATGGCAGTGGTGAGGAGAGAGACAGCTCCCAGGGAGGGCTTAAAAGTTGGCTCCCCATGAGCACTGGTTCCTGCTTCCCCGCCTTGCTGCCTCTGATACAGACACAGCAAGGGGGAGGAGGTTGCATGTAATCGTTAGGATTAACCAATGAGCCTAGGCTTATTGGTTAATCATATAAACAGGTACATGCTAACATCCCTAGTTAGAGGGAGCATGTGCGTGGTGGTGCTGTGCACAGGGGCACAGGGTGTGCTGTGTGTAGGGGCAGGGCCCAGGGACCATCGTGGGGAGCTGATGCTGTATCCTATGGCTACGTCTACACTGGCCCCTTTTCCGGAAGGGGCATGTAAATTTCAGCAGTCGTCGTAGGGAAATCCGCGGGGGATTTAAATATCCCCCGCGGCATTTAAATAAAAATGTCCGCCGCTTTTTTCCGGCTTTTAAAAAAGCCGGAAAAGAGCGTCTACACTGGCCCCGATCCTCCGGAAAAAGTGCCCTTTTCCGGAGGGTCTTATTCCTACTTCAAAGTAGGAATATCCCCTGCGGCATTTAAATAAGAGTAGGAATAAGAGCCTCCGGAAAAGGGCGCTTTTTCCGGAGGATCGGGGCCAGTGTAGACGCTCTTTTCCGGCTTTTTTAAAAGCCAGAAAAAAGCGGCGGACATTTTTATTTAAATGCCGCGGGGGATATTTAAATCCCCCGCGCATTTCCCTACTACGACTGCTGAAATTTACATGCCCCTTCCGGAAAAGGGGCCAGTGTAGACGTAGCCTATGAGTGGAAGGCCCAGCTTCCCCACCTGGTCTAGCCGCGGCTGCATCTAGCAGCTGCTGCAGGTAGGAGCTGAGCAATAAAGAGCTGGGGCGGAGGCAGAGCTCCTGATGCTCCAGAGCACTTAGGGCCGTTCAGAAAAAAGACACCCCCATTTTGGACCAACCACAGCAGTTTTGTATTGATGAAGCATTTGGGAAGGCAATCTATTTTCTGTTAAATACAATTTTCCATTTTATGCTTTAAATAGTTTAGTCTGTGGCAAACAAAACCCCCCAGAAAGTTCACTTTTAGAAGAAAGTTTAACATAGAATGTAAAGCTTTTGCAATGACTTGTACAAACTATGCAAAAAAACAGAAGGGAAAGATTTGTGGTTCTGAGAAGTAACAGAAACTAAGTTTGCAGTCACTCAATGGAGTAGTAGTTCAGGAGAGGGTCAGATACAGTGTGATTCTACCAAATACACTGCACTTGGGTATAGAGATTGAGCTGCAGAAGAACTGTATCACTGAATTCTTCACAAACTTAACACATACAAACACACACACACACACACCACTGCATATCAAATACACTGGTTATGAGAGCTGGGTTTCTGAAAAGCATTCAGCCAATGTAGTAATTCCACAAAAAAACTGCTGGAAGGTAGAATTGTGTGGGATGTGTATGTTCATACAAGTTGCCCATAATTTTAAAGTGATGTGTGCAATTTTAAAAAGCAAGCTACAAAATTCTGCATGCACAGAGTGTGATCACCTGACAACACAGAATATATTTGAACTCATCAGGACATTCTCTCTATCTGCATCCAGCAAGCTATTCTTCAAGAGCTCAAATATATTAAAGAAAACACTGAAAGGGGATGTGATCATCAAACATTGTAACCTCTTCCGCAGCCTAGAAAACTCAAAGCTCAAAGAGCTCTGAATTCAGCTAGGAAGCAGGAACATAAAGGAATTTTTTTAAACTCAAAGAGCCTACATGTAACATTTTAAATATTTAAGATTTGAGTTGCTTTAAACATTATATATAACACTGGTACAATTAATTAGAAATGTTAGCTCTTATTTTAGTTGTCTCTTGCCAAGTGGACCAGTCAGATTGTATACTGTGGGTCAAGTGGTGTGAGTAAAGAAGGAATTAAGGTAAACAAGTTTTAAGAAAAAGTGTCATAATTAAATAGTTTTGCTCAAAGGTAGTAAAGCATACTAGTGATGAGGGTTGATGTAATTTCAAAAGGTAGGATGGAAGACAGAGAAGAAAGAAGCAGGAGAGAAGGACCTTAGGAAATTTTTTTACCTACCTTTCTGTAATTTGTTGAATGCACATGTCCATTCTACTGTAGGTGTGCACACATCTTGTGCATAGTTGTTGGAGATTTTTTCCCTCAGAAATACCTCTTGGAGTGGCATTAGCATCCTCTGGTGTCTCACACCACTGCCTGAGAGGTACAAAGGAGAATGCTGCCCTCTTTGGAAAGTGAGTCATGGAATGGACACGTACATCTTAAGAACAGTTACAGAATGATGGGCAACCATTTTTAATTTGTGAGAGATTACACATGTTCATTCTGTTATAAGTGATTCACCAGCAGTTTGAACTGGAGGTTGACTTGGAATCTACTTGAACAAGGACTGAAGGACCACCTGTCCAAACCTGGCAGTATGTCTAAAATTGATGAAAGATGGTATCGTGAGAGGCAACCACATGAACTGACAACAAGACTGCCATTCTACAAACATCCAGTATTGTTACATGGCCCAGAAAGGATACAGAAGTTGCCTGCAACCTGCTTGAGCAAGCCACCATTTTACCAGAGGTGCAATATCAGTCAATTGGTAGCATAAACATATCTAGCTAGAAATCCAGGAAGAGATCCTCTGATGACCCTTTACTCTGTCAAACTGCAATGAAGATCTAAGAAAAAGATCTGAAAGACCTAGTCTGATAAAGGTAAAAAGCCAAACCTCTTACAACTCCAGACTATGGAACATCTATTTCTCTTTACCTGAATGAGGCTCTGGAAAGAAAGTAAATGCATGGCCTAATTAATGTGAAAACTGGAAACCAAGTTCCACAGGAATTGTTCCTAGAGAAAAATTTGTAAGAAGGTTTTGGCACTGGAGGTCACAGCTCCCTTACTCTCCTGTCTAAGGTTATAGTAACCAAGAAGCACACTTCCATAGACAAGTATAATAGAGAAGCATTACTAGCAGATCATTGGGGAAGGGTGAAGGATACATCAACTTTGTTTAAAACTAAATTTAAACTCCACTATGGAATGAGGCTGTGAATGAAATATGAACAAACATTTTAGAATGTATATAGGATTTTAAAAAACAAATTAGTTAGTCATGGGGGGGAAGGGAGGGAGAAAGCTGAGATACTTATAACAGAGTCCAATAGGTGACCAAGAACTAGCTCTTGTTGTTTCAGAAATAAAAAATTGTCCAAGATAATGTAAATCAGAGTTTGAATTACGGGGAGATGCCTTTTTGTATGGACCAAATGGAGAATCTCTTCCATTTAGCAAGGCAAATAGACATAACTGAAGGCTTCTTACTATTTAGCAGAACATTCTGTACCCCCTTCATTGTCAGCAATGAAGTATCCATGCTGTTAGACGGATGACCTCAAGGTTGGAATGGAGGTAGCAATGGTGGTTCTGAGATCACACATCCTCATCTGCCAGGAACCGCACCAGAGCTAAACAGTGTTGATGAGAGGCGGGTGGAATCTTCCTTAACTTTGGACAAAACTTTGGGAAGGAGTGGAAGTGGAAGGAAGGCATAGGGTTAGTCTTTTAATCAGGGTAGGAGGAAAGCACTTCAGTGAACTAAGTGATGTGTCACACATCATCCTCCATATTGGTGCACATAAAAATTCATTCCTTACAGAGAAATAAAAAATTTGAGGGAACACCGTCATTAATTTCAAGGAATGCCCCTCCACCCCAGTTTGTTTGCTGTGTTGTCCATAAAAACCAACAAATTTTACTCCCTTGATATCCAGAAGGAATACCATGTAAACTAAATGGATGGCCCATAGCTTCCTGATATTTCTTTATGGAGACTTAGATCTTGAGGATACCAAAGGCCCGGAAGGGCACTTAAGTGTACTTCTCAACCAAGATCTGAAGCATCTGTGTCCAGAGTGATGGTCTGTTACAAAAGTCTTGGGTGTAGACAGTACTAGAAAGGCCTCCCAAGTCAGTGGTACTGAAAGCTGCTCCAGCACCCCTCCAAGTCCTAGCCTGAGTTACATGCCTTCACTGTAGATTCTGAAGGTGGCAGTGCCAAATCTTTGGGAGCTTTAGGTTGTCTCTTCTTAGATACAGGAGACCTCTGACTTGCGACTGACTGAGTTCCGACCCCCCGCACTTACAACCATTTTTGTAAGTTTGGAAGGAGCCAGAAACCCCCGACTTACATCCTCAGCCTGCATTTATGAAGACGCACAGCACCTATCGTAAATGAAGGTTCAAGTTACGACGTCCCCGACTTGTGACGCTTCCCCCGGAACCGATCATGTTGGAAGTCAGGGGCCTCCTGTACCTGTGATGAGTATTTGCCTCTGGACACAGTCAGAATGGGGGAGAGGGGGGAAATATACCTAGATGATTCACATATCTTGGTACCCATTTCAAGTGGAAAGCACAGATTCCATAAGCAGCTGTTTGAATATGGCAGCTCTGTTTTTTTTAAATTGAGTCTTGAACCTCTACAAATGTGAAATTTATCACTCACATGCACCACTTCCAGTCACATAAGGCAGCTATGGCATGGGTCACTCACTGGCATAGATGTGTTACAGCAACAGGTCTTGAAGTCAGCAAAATGAAAAATTAGTTCTGTACTAAATCTGATACCCAACAAGGAACTGGGAATCCCACTCTAAAAATTACTTATCCTACACTTATTTTTAGATCTGTATCTTATATGTTCAAATACACTACCCTAGACTATAACCTAACTCAAAAAGAGGGGGAAGTCTTTCAGAGACAAAGATCAAAGCTCCAACAACCATCAGCAGCAATAAGAAGGAATTGAGGAGTGTTGGGGGATCTTTACTCCTGCATGAAGTGGTGAGAGGCATAAAAGGGCACTCATATTGCATCATATATTATTGCTGAAGGAAAAATCTCCAAGAACTGTACACAAGGGCTGTGTCTACACTGGGCCACTTATTCCGGAAAATCACCGCTTTTCCAGAATAAGCTGCGAGCTGTCTACACTGGCCCTTGAATTTCCGGAAAAGCAACGATGCTCTACTGTACAAAATCAGCTGCTATTCCGGAAAAACTACTCTGCTCCCGCTCGGGCATAAGTCCTTATTCCGACACACTGTTCCGGAAAAGGGCCAGTGTAGACAGCCCAGTAGTCTTTTCCGGAAAAAAGCCCCGATCGCGAAAATGGCGATTGGGGCTCTTTTCCAGAAAAGCGTGTCTACATTGGCCACAGACGCTTTTCCAGAAAAAGGGCTTTTCCGGAAAAGCAGCCTGCCAATGTAGACGCTCCTTTTCTGGAAAAACTGAAAACGGAATAGTATTCCGTTTTAAGCAGTTCCGGAAATTCATGCCAGTGTAGACACAGCCAAGTTGTGCATACACCTATAGTGGAATAAACATGCAGTCATTCAAAGAAGAAGCTCATGATGATGTAAGGCAAATACTCTGTTACAAAGAAACAAGATGGGTGAGGGCTTTTTGGAGGGTTTTTTTGGGACCAACTTCCTTTGGTGAGAGATGAACTCCTGAGCTCTAGAACTTCTAGAAGAGGAACTTGGTGGAGTTCAAAGGCACATCTCTTGCACCAACAGAAGCTGTTCCAATAAAATATATTACCTCACCCACCTAGTTTCATCTTATATTCTGGAACCAATATAGCTATAACATTGCAAACATATAATAAGAAAGAGAAACAGGTCAGAGTACTTCCTGCTGCTGTTTTTCTATGCCTGGAACTAAGATGTTTTGGGAAAGAACTCATGGGAGATCCTAAGGCTGCCAATTGCAAGTCAGTTTCAATTGTCTCTAAATTCTCAAGGACAAGGGGAATTAATCATTGACATAGAAATTCATTCATATTGTTATTATGCTGCTACTCCTTTTTTAGACAATTTTCAAGATTCAGCTCTTTGATTTGCAGATGAGAAATCAAAGCATGGTGAACTGATGCAGAAACTGGAGCCAAGACCTTTTTATTCCCAAATGTGGTAGACACCTCCAATCTCAGTTTCAAAGATCCAGTCTTTAGTATAGGGAACAGTGATTCATACTGTAGATCTATGCCACAATGTTGGCTAGCATTCAGCATTCTTTATGGAAAGACCTGAAGGTGCACGAGCATTGTTTTTAGTGGAAGTACGAGCCTGGTAATGTGAAATCTGAGTCTAAACATCAATTATTATTTGCATAATTCACTGTTCTGGGCTTTCTATGTTCTGAGCAGTGAGTTGTGTCAATTATAGTCACTCAGTCTATAATCTCAGAACTTGGTTGGTTTAAAAATTTCCCTCCCACAATTATTATAATAAATACAGTATGACAATCCATTAAAGAGGAGTGAGATTCATGCATAGTTGTATTGCTCTAATACTTGATTGTCCTTGGTGGGTTCATTTGCTGCCTGGAATGTATGCTAGAAGGTCATCATCATTAGTTCTGTCTTAAGAAAGTCACATTTCCCTTGCGCTGACGTGATGTAGGTATGAAAAATCTTTCCAAAAACTCTAAAGAATTTTTAATTAACTCATATTATAGCCATGAAAAGTTCTCAGATCAAATTACAGATGTATAGTTCTGTAACTTTATAAGCCACTGATAGCTTTTTTTTTTTCACTCAAGATTTTGTACCTCTTTTCTAACCACTTGCAAAGAATTATATGGAACCATTAAGTAGCCATTTCCAAAAAAACTGCACAATATTTTCTACTGCTGTTAAGCACTGCTGTGCAATTGACCTTTAAATAGAAACCAATGAATGGTACCCACATGCCAGGTAACAGTTAAGATCAGACTGTTTAAAGAAGGTGGATTTCCTTTAGATGCTGTCTGCTTTGCAGGTCAAATAGCGATAATAATGAATGTTTAAAAATGGTTGCTGCTGGTATGATCTGTCTAATCTTTGTGGACAAGGCATTTTGTTTTCCTTGCAATAAAACTATACTGCAGGCTAGTCTGTAGCAGACTACTATTTATTATTTGTATTACAGTAATGTCTCAAGGCCCCAGCGAAGATAGGCACTCATGTACTAGGCAAAGTACATACTGAGAAACAGACCCTGCCCCAGAGAACTTGTTCACAGATTCTAAGGCCAGGTGGAATCCATTTATGGTAAGTCTGACCTCCTGCATAACACAGGCCGCAGAGTTTCACTTCAGTATTCCTATGTTAAGCTCATCACTTCTACAGTATTTTTTAGAAAACTTATCATCTACCAAGAAAGACAAAAGATGGCAGGGGAAACAGGCACAGAAATTAAAATGACTTGTCTTAGGTCATAGCAGGTCAGCAGACAGTAAGTGATGTTTGAATACGGAGATTGCTAGTACAATTTTAATCACATCCTGGGCACATTAGGGTGCCTAATTTTCAGCCCTCACCACACAACTGTTTCATAAAGAATGATCAAGCATTACAGAACAATGCCTCAAAGCAGTGAATAGGTTCATACTGATACTTTAACATCTTCCAAAACTATAAAGCATAACCTGCTTTGAAAATCTTTGTGTCTGAAACTCTGAAACTAGATTGCATGGATATCAACAGAACCGTTTTTTATTTAAACATTTTCTATTCATTTTATGATAAAGGAAATTCAAAATCAACTGAACTGTACAATATTACTATTTAGACCTTTGTCCTTTATTCCAAAGTACTAATAGGCAGCCATGATGTGTATAATTGAATACACTGTAACACTTCTGCCTATTCATAAAAGGTAAACAAACAGATTTCCTCATAAGTGAATGACAAGCAATGTTGTGAAAAACGCAATACATGGGAAACGCACTTTTATACAAAATATTTCACTTCAGAGAGTGGCTTCATATGTACAAATTCTCAAACATGCATGCATCTGCTGTGATTCAAAGGTGATGGCGATGTTTAAACTGAAATTATTGCTGTCATGATCAAAGGCAAAAAATTCAGATGGCACTACAAAAGAGAAAGTGTAAGGAGTCTAAAATGAGAAGAGCAGGGGAGGAGGAGTGGGCTGATGGCTATGGCACGGATAGGGAAAGCAAAGATTTTCATTAGATATTTAAAAAAAATGATCTGTTTATATTATCCAAAAAGAAAAAATCAAAATAAAAAACAGAAAGAGCCCAAGACTACAGTGCCACATTGGTGTTTTGGATGGCATCACATTTTTTTTGGGTTCATTCTTGCAGTTGATGCTATTACCAAAAATCCTTCCATGTTATTTAAGTAATGTAATTTGCAGTCACTTCTCAACCATGATGTGTAATTTATGGCCTGCTACCACATCCAAAGTTTATAAGAACTAACAATGGTATAATCTGAAAATCAGGATAGCTGGAGATGTTAACTATGGAGGACAGAACTTCATGAGAATAGACAGATTGCTACTCTTTTCCCACTCTATTACAATAACATAGCAAAATTAACATGACAATATATGCATCTAGTTCTTCTGGCGGCCCTTTTTAACATTAGAAATCTGTGAAGTTTACTTGTGTAGTTTATTAAGATTGCATTATAATTACTCAATTTATTTTCTCTTACTGTGTTTCTACAGGATTCTAAATACCTTCCCCAAGATTCTCACCTTCAGAGAAAATTGAAGTTGAACTGTCAGACACTCCAAAATCAGAAAATTCCAAAATGATGGTTGTTTATAAAACCAATTTTTACTCCTCTCCCAAATCCTTCTGTATTATATTACTCTTTAATTGCATGATCATGTTTTATTTTTCAAATACCATATAAAATCATTCTTTTAATTTAAAATCCTGATGGCATCCTGTAATTTGTTTTCATTCATGTACACCTTCGCAAAGGCTAATTTCAAGAACCTACACTACCTCCCTACCCTCCTTCGCCCACCTTGGGAGTGAGCAGACAGACAACACAGGATAAGGGACCCTCTGAGGGTAGGCAGGTGGTGTGGGTTCTGGAGTAGCCTGGGGAATGCAGGGTTGGGGGCTGGAGTCCCACCCACTCTGGGAACAGCCAGACAGGCTACCTGAGCGATGGAGCTGTCTCCTGTAATAGGATGACAGCATGGTGGGGCGGGTTGTGGAGTGGCCTTGGGGATATAGCATCTTCCTGGGAAGCGCAGGGTGAGGGACTCAGCCCCCTCCCCAGTCTCCCCTCCAGCCACCCTGGGAACCAACACTTGAGAGACTGTGTATATAGTAGGACCTCTTCTCTCTGAGGTATTTATTTTAAAATTTTTCCTCCAATACTTTATACTATGCATTTGCTTTTCGATCAGTAGCACAGCCAACCTTTGGTTCATTTCCTAGGATGAAGTAGCTAGCTATGGACACCATTTTGGGACACGAGATATATTGTTGAGTGCACTTTATGGATTAAGTACACAGAACTACAAGATGTGCTGCAAAGGACATACATAAAAAGTGTATGGGCTTACAACGAATTATTTAAGAAATAATTTGTGATAATATAATTAAGTGAAATTTGTGTCATTCTTATCCCTTTCATAGCACTGTGTGAAAATTACCTTCACTGGGGGGATAAAAAACATGGGCAGATGTGAAAGATGAGGGTGACATTTTTTATCTGTAAAGTCCAGGGGCAAAGCCCTTGCAAGAGAACCAGACACCCTGTCTGAACAAGCTATTGGGAAGATGAGGATGCTAAGGCTTGTACCACAATGGGTGCTGTTTAGAGCGTCATCACTTGCATCAGAATCTATTTAATATGTCTGATCTGTATATATCCATTTTACGCAAAGGAAGCATTAATTGAAAGAGAATGATTATATTGCTACTAGTACAATTTAGAAATATACATTAAATTTTCAAAGAAATGCCAGCTTATTCGGGCTTTAAATATTGAAGTATGATCTCTTAGGAGATCAAATGTAAAGAAAGTTACCACTTCCTACTTAATTACTGACAGATTATTTTTCTTCTGATGCCCTCTTTTAGAAAAACAGCAGTTCAAATTCCAAGAAGCTTGTTTATATTTTCTTATGGTGGGATCTAGCAGGTCTTTTTTAATGTTAAAATATGTTCTATTTTAAAATAATATTTTCTTCTAAAAATCCATAACCTTGCAAGGTATTCTCAAACTTTAGACCAGAAGAAGCCTAAATGTTTGCAGTCATAAGCCTTTCCTGAACTACAGTACCTGCACAAGAGTATGTCATGATATTTGACTGAAGTGTCCCCACCCACACAGTGCTATCATCTAACCCGCTAGCCTAGCAGCTTAATTAAAAAAAAAAGTCAGAGCTCTGACTTGGAAATTCCCCATGGACACAACAAAGCAGCTCACCTCTGCTCTCCACACCAACATGCAAGTTTCTTCCTCTAAAGTGGGCTGATGGGAAATCTGCTTCAACCAGTATGTCTCTGCCTGTGGCCCACTTTCTTACGCCAGGTGGAAAGGTCTGCTTCACTCTAATTCCTTACAATAAGCCTGCTTTTTGATTTCCTCTCTGATTAATTTCTTGGGATAAACTCTTTTACAACTGTGCATCTGAAGCAAGTGAGATGTGAGGAGCCTAAAATGGTGTAATTACATTCGGTAGTGATTCTAAAAGTAATACAGGATTCTCAATCAAGGCAGCTACTTTATTGCAACTAAAACTGCTCAAGCTATTTGTTAGATTTTTTTTTGGTTTCTTTTTGATTCATTAATTATTTACAAAGTGACCCTGATTTTTTTAAAATATGCTAATTTTACAAGCACTCACCAAAACTTTAGATGAATAATTTCCACTTAACTACTTGCTATGAATATTTGCTATGTTGCATTGCAGGAATGGTTACCTGAGTCAAATATTACTGTTTTCTGTTCCTTTACTCAGAGATTGACATTTTTTAAACAGGACAACTTAGTCTGGTTAATGGTGGACAAACAGTTCTATTACAATTTATTAGACAAAAAGCATTTTCTTTATTCAAAGACATATAAAATGGTTTGCTAGAAAAAGAAAAAAAGTGTTGAAGCAAGAAAATATGTCAATATTCTTTACCCTGCAAGGATTTATGTCTCTGAATCAGGCCTTACCTGCACTAAGAATTTAGGTTGAATATAGCCACATAAAGTCGATTTTCTAAACAATGAGTTCACACTACCAAGCCCGTTTCATTGACTTTAAGGGCCACTGAAGTTGATTTTGGCAGTCATGCTTTTCACAAGGGATAATGCAAAATTCGACCTTCCGTGGTCGAATTTATGGTAGTATAGACTCAATACTGTGAAAGTCGACATTCTTGGCTTCCGTGAAGTGCTTGTGAAAATTCCACCACATAATTTTAGATGGAAAAAATCTAAATTTATTCTGATGTGCTAGGACCATTATAGCACAGAAAGACAGATAACAAGCAATGAGTTATGTTGTTACTGTATTACCATTGACACTGCTACAAGTCTAGAGCACCACAGAGGCCATCATGTTCAGTGTGTTCAGCAGACTCAGCAGATTTATGGTGTATAAAATGTCTGCTACAAATAATATTGTTAGCCTACTCCTTCTGCCACCTGCAACTGTGAGCGAAATACATTCAAATATAATTATGCTAAAACTATCCATAAATAAACATTTTCATTTAAAAGGAAAGGCAACACTGAAAGAAATTTTGAAAATACAACTGCTTCATACGTAATTGTACTGTTTACAGGCTTGCAGGAATTCATAAGGGACACGTGAATCAACTAAAATGCCCTGTAGGTACTGCAATTTGATTAAAGCAGAAAGAAAACATCATTTGAACTTTTTTTTTACAAGAATGTAAAACTTTTCTATGAGCCATTTCCTGCTATTGTTGAAAATATTCCTCTTTTAAACAGAGATGGATTTCAAGGTACTGTACTCAATGTTGTTTTGATAGTAGTTTCAGAAGAAAATATGAATGTGTGGGTAAGCTCTGGAAACTCTTTGGAGAGACTACCTACTTATTTAACCACACTTCCTGTTTTTAACCCATTTGTCCTAAATCAGTCCCTAGTCTACTGACAAAAAATAGATATAACAATGTGCTATAAATAGCTCATTAGAAATTCTTTTTGTAAAACTGAAAATGATCTGATAAATCTATCTTTTTTTGTTCACAGCAAGTCCACATTAAAAAGCACACCAATTAGTGTTATGGAAGGTACCTAAAGCGCTGTTGGTACACTGGTTTTTGCCATAATCTATGGGAAACAAAACTCAAAAGATCAGAGATCCAGAATGCATTGACATAAAAGCCAAAAGAATGGAAGGCAAAGAGTGGGTGATCTCTGCATACATTCTGAGGATCTGTACTTTGTGTTTGCTTTAAACAAATCTTTTCAACATAATTGATGGTAATTATGAAGAAATGCTGTCTCCTCACAAATGAAAGAGAAAAAAGCTGACAGAAATAATGATATAAAAGGACCTACTTACTTACTAGCTTGAAAAGTAAAGAAGATGGAACTATCAGCAGAGAGATTTGAGGGCTATCTTGCCTGAGAAAGGCTTCTTTAAGACAATCAGAATATAGGGAGTCATTAGAGACAGGGGAATAGATTTCAAGCTTTCTGAGGGCCAGAGTTGTGGGGAAAACTCAGCTAAGGATTTCCAGAACTGAAGTTGAAAGTGCTATATCCCTGAACTAGTTTTCTTTTCCTTCACTCATAAGCTATGATGTTGTACTGATGTAATATGTAGACATCTTTTGGATGTCCGCTGGTAGATTTATCACCTAATTATCACAATACTAGTTTTAAATACACACAGAAATAAAAACTATGATTAGGTATGTACTTTGTTATGCTCTATTTCAGTTCAATAACTATACAGACAATTATTTCAGAGTGCAAGAACTAGAGACTGCTTATTTCCATGCTTGAATAGGCTAGCAACACCAGACACCAGTAAGTGGTGACACTGCTGCAGCTAATTTTTTAATCTGAACACATGGTTAAGTCTAGAGCTAAGAATCCAAATTGTGGAGCCAGGCAGCTGTGTGATAGTGCTGGCTCTGGTCTCTTGTGCATAGTGGAAGTCAAGTAGCCATAAAACATGGAGCTGGAACTATTCAGGATCTGCTGCTCAGGCCTCTTCATTAACGGCTGTCCAGCCCCACGCAGATACAGCCGCGGATACAAAATGTAGTATTGGCAAAAATGAGCCACGGATATCTGTATCCACATTCACAGATGTGCATACCCATGGATATAAAGTGGATGTGTGTGGATTTGCAGGGCTCTACAAATCTGATTAATTTTTTCCACCAGACACAGCTGGAAAAATCACAGTGAGTAAGATTAGCTGCCATTATCAAACCCTGACTAGTCACGCAAAGAACCACCGCTGTCACTAGTTGATTAAGTGTTGCTCCCACCATCTGAAGAGTAGGAGAAGCAGCCCTAGATAGAGGGCTCTAACACTCTAACAGTGAATTCAAGTCAATGTGAGTAGAGGACACTCAGTCTCTCTCTCTCTCTCTCTCTCACATACACAAGAACGAAATTTCAGTCTATTTAACACGGCAATAAAAATGCTCTTGGGGAAAATATGTATTTATGTACAACAATATATTCTTCAAATTAGGGTTGCCAGATAGTTTCCCAAAAAATACCGAACATGGGGGAAAAATGTCCACGCCAGCCTTCTGTCCGAGAAAAACAGAAAATATCGGTATTTTCTGGGGTCTTTTTAACCGGACAGAAGACGCAATTGCCGGACTGTTCAGGTGAAAACCACACACCTGGCAACCCTAACCCCAGGCGGGGGAGGGAGGTGGCTTTCAAGGGATTCCTCTCCCCCCGCCCCCCAAAGCCTTTCCCTCAGGTCCTGCATGCCTCCTTAACCCCTTCCTCCCTAAATGCACCCCATGCAGGGAAGGAGCTGGGGGTGATTCTCTTCCTTCCCACTCCTGCAAGGTACTCCCCCCCCTCCCCTCCATGCCTCCTTAACTGTTAAGGCTCCAGACTGCCAGAGGCTAGCTAGCCTATTCAGGAAAGGGGGGAGGAGAAGGGGAGATGCTGTCCCTGCTGTGGCTTCCCCTTCCTTCCAAAAGGTGCCCCATGCTGGGAAGGGGCTCAGGAGCTTCCCTTCCCTCCCACTCTGGGAATGGATCCCCTCCCTCTCCTCTCCTCTCATCCCATCCCACACACCTGCTCATGGCAAAAGGAGTTTTGTTGGCAGCCTCTGCAACTGCCTGAGCCTGGGAAGGAGCTGCAGCCTGTTTCACTGCCGCCTCACTGAAATGCAGCAGGGCCCCAGCACGTGGCGCGTCTCCTGTGCGGGCCTCTCCCACATTCAGGAGAGGAACCAGAAGTATCTGGCTGTGCTGCAAGAGAGGCTGGGGGAAGTTTTTAAAGTGGCCCCAGGGACACTCCGCCCTCCCACCCCTGCCAGACGCGGAAGGAGAACAATGTCCCCGCCGGCCTTCCGTCTGAGAAAAACAGAAAATACCGGACATTTTGCATATCTGGTATTTTGGTTTTTTTTTATGGACAGAAGACGCAATTACCAGACTGTCCAGGCAAAAACCAGACACCTGGCAACCCTACTTCAAATAATTAAACAATTTCAAGTTGATCGTTTCATGTAACCAGTCCTCATCCTAACATGTAAGCTGGATATCAGAACACCAACTCCCTATCAAAAGCACCATATACTATTAATAATCCATCTCCCTTGGACACACTGCTGAAGACACAAGAAATAGGGACTTCCAATTATCTATTCCACTGTATTATCAGTCTGTTCTAGATGCTTTTTAAAAGCATGGAGGTATACTCAAAAGTTGTGTCATGGATTTTAGAAGGTAAAATGAAGACTCTCTCTCTTTCAGTACAAAGTGTTGCAATCCTTTTGTGCTATTGTATTAGGTATATCCTATGTTGGCTTTGACTGAAAATGAAAATAGGAAACACAACAGTAGTAGACTCCTGGTTTGGAGAATTTAGGAGCCAAATATGGTTTCTACAGCTACTGTTTCTCTTGTTCTATTACCTATGGCAGTGTTTCCCAAACTTTTTCATAGGTGATCCATTGTTTAGGAAAATGAAGATAATTGCCCCCCTTTACTTCAGCTTTCACATGCGTAGTCCAAGGTTTACATGTTTTAACTTGAACATCCTCCATGCCTCTCTCCCATCCCAACACCACTTTGGAAAATCTACTAAATTAATGGTACAACTCCCCCTACCCTCTAAGCCCAAATCTGCCCTGTGGAAAAAAATTCAACAAAATACAAAAGGATTCAGTGCAATATAAACCCTGTCACTTTTGCAAAAGCACTTTATAGACAAAAGAGAGTAGCTGTAGACTCACATAACTACAAGACCTGGAGGTGCAAGCCTAACCTTAAAAAAAAATCCCAATTTCTTTATCTAAAAACTATATTAAAAATCATCACCTCTCCCTAGCCAGAAAAAAACAAAAACAAAAAACAACCCCCCACAAAAAACAAAACAACAACAAAAAAAAACCCATACCAAACCAAACCAAAAAAAAAAAAAAAACCCTCAAGAATACGGAAATCTACCCCAAGGTTTCCTTTCATTAACACAAACCAACCATAGACTACAAAAATATTCTTTTCTTTATTTCAAATCCATCAGTTTTTAAAAACAGCCTGAAGGTGTCTTTTCATGATTCTATAAAACCTAACATTATTAAAACCTTCAATACACAAAACAGTTCAAAAGTGTTATGTATTCTACTTACAATTCCTAAAGTCATCGTTAAAATAATAACAACCTGTCATCGTCTTTGTAAGATGAAATGACTGCAATTTCAAAAATGAAAAATGAGTTTAGAGATATACCATGTTTATGAATTTACTTGGGTTGTCACTCAAAATTATGAATATTATCATAAGAAATTATCAGAAAATTGAAGTGAATTGATGCAAAAAAAATCTACATCAGAGAAAATGTTTGGAACAGTATAGAAACTAGCATTGGGTGTCTATTTGTCTTC